CCCCAAAACCCCAAAACCCCAAAACCCCAAAACCCCAAAACCCCGTGTTGGGGGGTGGAAGTTGAAAATTGTGTTTTAGGTAAGAACGGATAGTGGGAGGGAAGATATGGGGGGTTTGGGGAGATTTAAGCAGAGTTGGGATGGTGTTTACTGATCGTAATTGTATTGGCTTTTAGTGTTTTATTATGTGGTTTTAGAGATATAATTTTGCTATCTTGTTGCCAGATTTTAGATCCCAATAATCTCCCTTTAATTCTCCTATTTCTTTATTCACCTAATTAAAATCTCGTCACTTTGTCAAACTAGACTAACAAATTATAAACTTTGTCTCTCAAATCTTCTAAATCCTTTCCTAAACCTAATTCTCCCACTTTCTTTCCCAAAGATAAATCACAAGAAACTTATTTTGGTTAAAATTAGCTTCTAGTGAAGAAGATCGCAGAAAGTTCCTTCTAGATCTCACTACGAGATCTACCTCTTGTAGCTGTCTTTATCGTGATATCCTTTGTGATCTTGCTAATAGCCTCATCTAAGTAAGTTTCGTAGTAGTAGAAGAAATAATCATCATAAGGGGACTCCCTCAATTCCTTCTCTTTCATGTCAGAGCTGTTTTCACGAATAATTTTCAGAGGTTTCGTTTTATTCTTCTCAGGAGATAAGGAGAACTGAGGGCTCATCCCTGAACTAGTCTTACTGTTTGTCTTTGATAGTTGTACATCAGGCTCTTCTTCCTCCACCTCATTGATCTTAGGCAGTTCCTTTTTGTTTTCAAGAATCTTGATTCGAGGGAGAGAAAGAGTTCTTTTAATAGGATGAGCCTCCTCCTTTTCTTCTTCCTCCGGCTCCTCTTCCTCTTCAAAGTAGGAAGAAGAGGTTGATCAGTTTAGTTGGAGTACTGGTCCTTCCTTCTTGAGCTCAAAGTTTTCCTTCGAGTTTTCTGAAGTCTGTTTCATCTTGAATCTTTTAGAAGGAGAAGAGTATCTTTCAGTACTAAAGTCAAGATGGGAGTCACTTTCTGATTGAGCTCTGTCTCTTTTCCTAATGCTCATCTTCTTGGATATAGACTCAAAGTCTAAAGATGACTCTTGGATGTTAGTGAACCCAGACTGGGTCTTCTTGACTTCGGGTTCTGGAAATTCACTGAATTTCTTTTCTTCATTATCACTGTTATCATTTCCAAAAGAGTCAAATCCGTTCTTGATAGAGGACATGAATTTTGATTGAGTGCCAAATTGACTAATCTCCTTGGCAGGTATACCATCTTCAACCTTGGATTTGAACTTAGAGATTTCCTTACCTCCACGTTGATTTGAAGTTTGTCTAATCTCCTTTCTTTGCTTTTTGAAGCTTTCCAAAGATCTGATCTTCTTATTATCCTTAAAGTAGGAGAAGCTTCTTCTATTTTTAGCCATGTTTTGAGCCCGTTCAACAATCTTTTCAATAAGGGAGGGCTGTTCGTCGTCTTCGAAATCGTCTTCTCTGCACAGCATCTTACCGATCTGGTTAAGGGTGAGTCCAGCTGCAGCACCTTTCTTGAGTAAGATACCTGTAATTCTTATATTTCTAAGTCAGATTTTTCGAAATTTAAATGTGTTATCAAGCATTTTGATGTCTTTCAGGACATCAATTTTGTCAATGTAGTCTAAAGCTTTTTGTCTGAATGGCTCCTCGCTCTGAGGCCACTCCATCCAGCAAATATCGTATGAGTAGATTTCTAGGTTATCAGGGATGGAAAGGGAATGATCGATTGGAATCAGTTCATATCTTTTTGCTGATTTTTTAATTAAGATATTCCCATCATTCCTGTCCAGGTTCATTAATCTGAGGTCAAGGATCCCTATCTTATGCACCTGGCTTGTAGAGAATAGGTCTGAGGAGTAGTTGGAAGCCAGGTCATCAGCCTTTACAAAATATTGAAGAGACCCATACTTCATTTTGATGCCTTCACTCATTTGTGAATCTTTTTGGCTCTCTGGTGCAGTAGAACTAGAACTCATCTGGGAAAGAGTTGGGTTAATCAGAGAACTCATAACGTTAATATAATCCTTATTACTATCAAATGCTGAAGAGTCCATTTCCTGTGATGAAGAATAGTTAAAAGATGGATGAATAGCTTCAGCAAAGATTGTTTCAGGAACGCCTGCAAAATTATCATGGTCAAGTAAGAACGAGGCTACTTCTCGAATAACGCCTTCCCCAGATAGGACTCCTTTCCTAAATGAGGATTGACCGAATTCTCCAACATATCCTCTTGGGTTATTAGGAGCATAGGCTTCTTCATCTATAGGTTTAAAGATAGCCACAGTGTTCTTATTAATGTCTTTCATCATATAAGTCCCAGCAGTGCCGTCAAAAGCTAGTGAGGGATTGAAACCTTGGCTCATACCTGCCATAATCTGGTCAATCATATGCTTGATCCGGCCTGAACTGTCCTTATTTCTGCAGGGTTCCATATGGCTCGATGAATCATTTCTGGCCGTCTAGATTCCGTCTCTGAATAAGCATGACCTTGTTCTTGCCTTTACGAAGGATGTTATAACTCTCAAGCGTATTGTTGTTCTCTAGTTCTCAGTTTCTAGCGAATAATCTCTGAGCAGGGATCGGGATGCCTGTTTCCTTCATGATTTTAGATTTTAGCTCGAACACTGTCGTCCACCAATGAACTCTAAGGGTAAAGCTCTTTCCAATCAGGGTATTATCGATCTATATAGACAGATATCAGAGGTTAGGCTGGCTGGAGTATTGGATGTTGATGGAAGGGAGATCAATAAATTAAGTAATAGTGAAAGTTATTAAAGCCTGAGTGGTACAAAACCATCTTCTAAATTCTTACCTTTAGGCTCAGTATTTTATCAGTGACTGGTCTATCATACGCGTTCATTTCAGGCAGAGACCTCATTTTCTAGATTACAAAAGCTTATATAATTATTTCAAAAGTTTACTTTTATACAGGGGTTTTGGGGTTTTGGGGTTTTGGGGTTTTGGGG